TACGGCATTGTCTTTGTTTTTTAGTCTAGGTATAACATCTATAGGTCTGTGGAAGTTTTATTTATATTAAGAAATTCACTTATATCAGGGTAGTTTACTTGTAGTAGGTACAGCTTAGAGCTTCATTGGAGAGACTTATTACTTTCACAGTTCCTCTTTTAGCTGAGGCGACAGCTCTGTAGTGTATTAGCCTACATGCATCACAATTCTTTTAACTCTGGTGAGTGACTATTGAATGTTTTGTTCTTTTGAAGGAATGTGGACATGGTTGGACCTCCATGAAAGGCCGAGTAATTTTTTGGTTCCATCTGAACTACACCACCAACTCTGGCTATGTGATGTTCAAACTGTACGGCCAGCAGTGTCAAAAGTGTAAAAATGGAAGCTATGAGCACGCAATGTGGTACCCTGAAGAAGTTGTCAAAGTGAGTCGAAACACAGTCATTACGAAACACGGTCATTACGAAACGCGGTCATTGCGAAACGCTGTCATTGCGAACGCGGTCATTACAAAACACTGTCATTACACAACATATTCATAACGAAACACAGTCATTATGAAACGCAGTCATTATGAAACGCAGTCATTATGAAACGCAGTCATTACGAAACAGTCATTATTGCTATTAAAAACAGTTTAATCTTTGTTTTAATGGGGAGTGCATAAAGCTACCGGAGGAAGTGGACTTAGAATTAGCATGCGGACTGTTCGGTGTAGGGTTAAGAAGCTGGGCTTAGTCTGGGAAGCTGGGCTGGGTCTGGCCTTTGGGGAGCTGGGCTTGCATGTGGAGAAGGCAGACTGGTGAGTGCTGGATGTGGAGAAGGCAGACTGGTGAGTGCTGGATTCGTGATAGCATGGGAAGGATTGTGGGAAAAGGGTGTTTGGAATGTACAAGTTTGGGAGTCAAAAGTGAGAAGAATGGTATTGCATATTAGTTTATTTTGTATGTTGTGTGAAAAATCCTAAAGATGTTTAGTTAGGGACACATTGCCTTCAATAATTTCATTTAGAGATAGGGCAATAAGAGGACTGAGTATGTGGTAGACTCTTACTGAATCTTACAGTCAAGCAGAGAAAGTGATGTATGTAATCAAATCAAACTTTTTCAACTTTCAACTCTGCAGGTGATTGGAAATGTCTATAACCGTGTTGGACAGATATTTTATGGATTTGTTCGACCTCCTCTCCGTATAGATAGACGCCAGGGCAAGCCCAGGAACCAGCATAATGCAGAACTCTGTCAAGCCTGTAAGGAAGGCCTGTGTAAAGAGGAATGGTCTTTTTCATGAGCCAAGTGTCCAGTCATTGGGCCAAATGTTCAAGGAAGGGAGAGCTTCCAATGTTCAGTTGCTTGATGATTGCATACATTCATTTCATTTGTTGCATGAAAGCCTAATACAAAAAATGGCTTATTGTTTAAACATTTAATGAATTCTGATCCTAAGTTTATATTTTAGTCATGTAAACTTCAACCCATTGAATAACTATTATATTTGTGTATAGTTTATTATAAAATAAATGGTGACTTGACAATCATTACTAAATTACTATTTTTGTAAGAAAATGATCTGCCTCAAGAGTATCTCCCATGAAATGGAGATGTTCAGTTTGTCTATTAACGTATCAGTATTTATGATGGCTTGTGAGGAGAGCTTGGGATGTTTCCATCTGCCTGGTTACATTCCTAACTGTTTACTATCTGATTGGCTTTCAACCTCACCACAACTTGCCCTGTTGATTGAAATAGTATTAGTCATTGAATTACATACTATGTACTAATTTGCCTTTAACTTTGTTATTATGCGTGTATTTATGAACATGATCAGGCTGTCTCCAAATATCCAGACTAATCCAACAGCTTTCCAGTGTTATATACACTCTCTGTACTGCTCTAGTTTCATCTTATCTTTTTGTTTTAGTACCTTAATAATTTTTTTAGTGTGTTTTAAAATCAAATCTATTAACTTTACATATACCCATTCTAGTTTATTTTATACTTTTAGAGCTGTAAAAATATTAAACATTTACAATAGTTCTCTGAAATAGTCACTAATGATTAAATCAGAAGATAATTTTATTTAGAGAAAAAATAAAGTTAATCCAATCTTTTTTTTTCTCGCTTCAATGATTGCTGCTGTTACATTTCAATAAATGTTGCTCATTTTTTTTTTTCCTTTACAACCAAAATTGTATGTATTGTGTTTTTGTCTTTTCAAGACAATGTTTTGGTTTTCCTTTTTTTAAGTTCTAAGGGGCATAATTGTAGGTGCACAGTTCTTTCTTACCAGTTTTATTGTAAATAGTCAAATTATATATAAATATAAATATATACATATATTTAAATAGAACATCAATTTATTTTTTAAAACTTTTTATGTGCCTTTCATCTTGATGTTATTTTCATATCTACAAATATATATGTGAAAATACTTTCCATTCCTTTGATCATGTATTTAAACCATTTGTCCCTTCCCCAATGTATTCAATGTTTAATCAAAATGGCTACCACTCTGTGCCTTGTAAATCTGCACCAAACACCGAAGAGATGATATAATGAATTGTTACTTCTAACTATAAGAAAACTTTTTAAACATTTTAAATCATTTTTTTTAATCAACTACTACAAAGAGAAATAAATTAAATAAAATCAGATTTTATTTTGTTTAAATTACCAATGCAATAAAATCATTGTTATTTCTATAGAACTACCTACAAATCTGGCATTATTTTTAATATTGATGTCCAGAGAAAATGAAAGAACTTGAAATGTACAAGTCAGTAGGTTACATTATGTCAGTAGTATTGCCTTAAAATAGAATAGTTTCATTCCAATTGTTTCCAATGTCTACTACCAAAGGGACCACACTGTGTGTTCACTTCAAGTGTTCTCAGCTTCTAAGTGTTCAGCTGAACACAAAACACTGTTGAGATTATTCAAACTTGAATGTTCATTTCAACACTTAGAGACCTCCTAATGATTGTTTATGTGTCAGGCTGGAATGCTCATCAAAATATACCGTGATACTGTAAGTTAAACAATGGTTGCTATAGAAACCTATTTATAACTATAACCATATTCATTATTAATCTACATTTTGTTAAATATATTTATTGTATGTATGTAAATCTTCTATGTTTGGTGTTTGAATGGACTAAAATGAAAAATTTAAAGGGAAAAAAAAATCCCACTATCTATAGCTGGTTCATTTTGCAGCCGGCCACAACTGAATTTAATTGTTCTTCCTTTATATGGGACAGTTTTTGGTGATAAAATTTTTTCTTTAAGTGTATTATATTTAGCTTATACTTTGTTTTTTTTTCAATACATTGATTTTAAGAAGTCTAGGAATGTAAAGACATGAGAAATTAGTCCTATAAATGTAAAGACATGAAAAATGTGTCCTCTAAATTATCACTAACATGCAAAAAACAAATTTCAGTGTTAAAGTCTCCAAGTTACTAAGCTAATGGAAAAAAAGATCAGCATGAGGTTAAAAAAAAAATCTAAAATTTAAATTTAAACATAAAAAGTTTTTTTTTTATGCTTCCTAAAATTGTTAACATAGTGCAAGCATTATAACTAAGTAAATAAATATTTGCTCTCTGTGTTGTGAGAAGCCATTACTGGCTTAATTTTAATTAAAGCTTTAAAAAATAATTAACATTTTAACATAATGTTTGTGTCCTAAACCTTTAATGTCTCTGTAGCCACTCCTCCTCTTTTCCTACAGTTGTTCTCTAAATCTCCCAAAATGATGGCTTTTGATGAAGTACACACATTTATAGTTTATCTCATAATGTATTCAATTGTATATAGCAATATTTGATCTTGATTATAAGATTTGACTAGAACAAGCTTTTACATTATAAACCTTCAGCTCTAAATGTTGGTGGCCTTATTGTTTTAGAGCTACTACTTTAATAGCGCCTTCAGTTTCAATTAATTTCATTTTTTCACTTGAAAATTATTTTTTTTATTTATTGAAATTTAACAATGTTTAAAACCTACAAATAATGACTCTAAAAATAATGTTATCATAGAAATGGTATGTTCCTAATTCACTAATGGCTTAGTCAAAGGATACATGAACATGTTTGTACACAATGAAAGCATTCCTTGTCTAATTCTAACACAGCCTGTTCATTAACAAAACTGTTGACTAGTAGACAATAGTGTTTAGAACAGTTTTCAACAGTTCATTTAACAAAGTCTATTTTTAGCCTGGTGAAACAAAAAAAAAGAATGTGCTAATGAGAAATAGTTTACATTCCAACACTTCAGTCATTCAGTCTTGAGTTAGATACTGAGTTGTCTTACTTGGAAGTGTCCTAAACTAAACTAGACATTATCTTGGTGGAATCCATTTTTTTTTTAATCTTGCAATCATAGAATTCTTTTTAAATATTGAAGGCTCTGATAGTACATCTGACCACCACAAAAATAAAAAGATTACAAAGTGATGATAAAAATGAAATTTAAAAAAAATTGTTTTTCCTGAATGTTTCCCTGCTCTTCTCTTTGAGTCATTCTACTTTCTATCCAATATTTTCTCATCCAAGATAAGTATGAACTATACCATCAACTAGCAGCTAATGTTGCTTGATAAACTGTGTCACAAACTTTTATGTACTTTTGAGTAAATCAAGTTTTTTTCATGTAATACTGCATTTTATTTTGTTTCATTTCTGTCAAACTTTTTTTTTTATTTCCATTTTTTTAAAGTGTTTTTCTTTTGCTTTTTCTTGTTTTTTTTCTGCACTTCATTTTGTTTTCCACTGTTTTTGTCTTTTGTACTCAATTTTTTTCTTGCTGTTTTTCTAAGTTTTTGGTGGCAGGTTATTTTTTTTTTATACTCTATGTCCTGAACATTAGCTGCAATTTATTTATTTTCCTTTTTGCTCTAGTTGAGTTAAAATCTAACAAAGTTGAACAATGAGTGTAAACCTAATGAAGGCATCTCATGTTTGTTGATGACTGGAACAATGAGTGTAAACCTAATGAAGGCATCTCATGTTTGTTGATGGCTGGAACAATGAGTGTAAACCTAATGAGGGCATCTCTTGTTTGTTGATGACTGGAACAATGAGTGTAAACCTAATGAAGGCATCTCATGTTTGTTGATAACTGGAACAAAAAGACTCTGGAATGTTGTGAAGTAACTGGAAAAAAGAAAGGACTGGAGAGAATGGGATGTTATTTGTAGTTTTTGATTTATTTTAATGGTCAAGAGATTTGTGAAAATTTGTAGTTGTTCAATTTAGGTTAAGCCTATCTAAGACCTATACAATAGATACAGTTTCCATCCTTATGATTATCTAATGATTGACAGTGTCTCACAATGTATTAAATCATTAAATTACTTTTTCAATGTATTCAAATCCTGTTTGTTTGACTTCAGTTTTCTACCCTCTAAAACTTGTGTTTTGTTTTGGCTCAATAATTTTAAAACATTCCAAACAAATATTTGCCTGCTAGAACAAAAGTGCAGCCTGTGGTAAAGACTAAAACTTCAAGTGTTCATGCACTGAGCAATTTAGACACATCAGAGAAAATAACTGTGAAATGTGAAGTTGAGTCAAACTTTGGTTTGCAAGTCTACACACACACACACACACACATATAAAACATTCTGAGTTGTAATACAAGGAACAGACAGAAAAGAATTCAAAATAAATTTTGTTCAATTTTTGATGATTTCAACTCGACTATTCTAAAGTAAACGTATATTGGAGTAAACCAATCTAATTAGGGTTTAAGTTTCAGAAAACTATTTTACTAAGTTTATATCAACCCACTTCACATTCGTGGATCAAGTTGAAATTGAGCACATGACAACACATGAATCAATAAAAAAAACATTTTTAATCAATTAGACTAGTTGCATTTAATATATTTTGTTTTACATAGAAATATACTATTATACCGGTATATAAGTCTTGTGTAGAGAATTAGATCGTTCGCTAAAAATTTTAATTTACAAAACCTTCTATTTTTATAAGTAGGCCTACTTATGGCTAACGCGTCGGCCCTCCATCGCCAAGGCTCGAGAATTTGAGTTCGAATTCCGATTAGAGAAATTTTAAATAAAAAAAAAACGCTTGAAAAAGCATCACGGAACCTTTATCTCCCCCAGCCCCCTCAACCGGTCCACAAAAATGATTGGACCGTAATGCACTGCACATTATATCAACAGGAAAGTTGCTCTGCACAATAACAATGAATAACAAGAAAAACACCAAAATACTATTAAAAATATACATAGCTTATACAAACTGTGGGTCAGTCATATATAATTAAATTCGTAATAGATCTAGAAGCTAGACTAACAGTAATAAATCTGTGCGATTAGAAATATTTTAATCAATTGTTTTTTGTTTAACGCTCGTTCATGCCATTATCTTGCTCAATGCGCTATGATCCTATCACTTATTTTGACCAGTTGGGAAAATTGGGAGTTGGGGGGGGGGGGAGAAAGGGATATCTGGGTGAATGTTACCGTTATCACTTTTTAATAGCATTTATAAAAAAAAAAAAGGGAAACGACTGAATTTGAATTTATGACTCAAGCCTTCTCAAGCAAGTTAACTATTGTTGGTATCACGGAAATGAAATTCCCCCGCAAGGGGGGGGGGGGTCGGAATTTAGTGACTGATTTTTTCCTTTGATTTTGTTTATTTTAGGTGAGATTTTAATACTAAACCATCACTTGCCCCAGCACAGCCAAGGTTGTTTTTTTAAGTTTAAAACCCCCTACCAGGGGGGTTTGAGTTTAGACCCCCCTACCTTGAGTTTTGAGTTTAAAACCCCCTATCAGGGGGGTTTGAATTTACCCCCCCACACCCACCAGGGTTTGCAGTTAAATCCCCCTCTTCTATAAAACAAAACAAAAAAACGAAATCCCCAAATTCCAAGAGCCACAGTTCTGGAAGATTTTCATTTTAACCCCCCCCCCTCCAAAATTTACGATAAACCCCCTATTTAATATAAAAAAGCAAATTACACACTCAAAATTCTATGAGCGTAGCTAAATGGGTATTGACTCAGTTTTGAGTTTAAACCCCCCTTCAGCAGGCTTAGATGGTAAAAAATACGTCTTTAATATTAAAAACAAAACAAATTATACACTCAAAATTCTTTGACTGTAGTCAAAGGGGTTTTGAGTTTAAACTCCCCTCTAGTGGAGTTTGAAGCTAAAAAAAAATACCTTTTCAATTTAAAAAAAAGCAAATTACACACTAAAATTATTTGAGCGTAGCAAAGCCCATTGGGGGTTTTGAGTTTAAACCCCTCTCCTCCAGATGGCCTTTTTAAAAGTTTAAAACCCCTCAAGATAGTTTTGAGTTTAAAATCCCCCTACAAAGCGTTTTGAGGTGAAAACCTCTATCTTCATATATTATTCTAAAGCAAACTATAGTTACAATGACCGTAGCTAAATAAGGTTTTGAATGTTAAAAAACCCAAAAACCTCCAGAGTTTTTTTAGTTTAAAACCCCCTTCAGATGATTTTGACGATAAAACTTCCCTTTTCGATATAAAATCTAAAGCAAACTACAGTCACCAAATTCCAAGAGCGTATTCAAGAGAGTTTACTCATTTCTAGCAGTGGCGGGACTCCATTAATAAAATGCAGTAAATAGTCATCTGCCAAAATTGAAAAACACTAAATGTGGCTCAACAAAGATGGCTAAGACAGATTTTACGAGTCAGTTTTAGAGATCGGGTTTAAATCAAGGAAATCCTATGCCGAAGTGGGAGTCGACCCTTTAGTAAGATTGTGACAGAGCGTCGCATCAGGTTTGTGAGACATGTTCTCCGACAAAATGAATTACGCATAATAAGAGTTGCGATGACATCCTAGTACAACTTGGCACCACACATTCATGGAGGTCCTCAGAGCAGGTGGGAAGAGGCTTCAGACATTACCAAAGACAAATTTTTGTGGAAGCAGCTTGACGGCAAATGCGTTGAACTGCGCGGGGGGTCTAAGTCAGTAAAAATAGCACATTAGGTTATGAAATAAACCTTTTTAATAGCAGGAAAATGCACTGTAGATACCTCAGAATATGCATTTTGTTGGCTTTCAATACCAGAAATAGAGCTTGGCGGCGGGGCCCAGACCCCCTCGCTGTCAATAGCGGGGAATCTACAATTTTCCCACTAACTCCAGGAAGAGCCTATTCTAGGGCACAATAAACGTCTTCCGAAAGAATTAAAGGTCAGAATGTAATAAAGATTATGTACACACACACATACATATAAATTTTTTTTGCCGGGGGAGGGGGAGAGTGGAGAAAAAAACAACAACCCCAAACACCCCCCTCATAAAAAAAAAAATCCTGGCTACGCTCATGATTTGTTTCAAACTTACTTTAAGGCTGTGAACGTTAAATTATCAGCTTATACAACAACTTCAGACAAGTGCTATTTCTTTCCCTTGTTCAATATACCAAACAAAATAATTAATTAGTAAATTATGTATTTGGTAATTTTTTATTCCTGTGTTGTCAGGTAAAAGAAATAAATTTTGCAAAATGTCAGCTTGATCCGAAACACACACACACACTTTTTCAGACAGACAGACAGAGTTAATATAAAGTTTGTAAAAATATTTCCAATCGCACAACTTTAATATTTTTAGTTTGGATCTATTAAAAATTAATAAAATGATTGATACAAAATATGTGATGCAAGATCTATTTAAAAAAGCTTTTATTTTTTTAAAAGTATTTATTTTATTTTAAATTTCTTTCATATGTGTTGTTCATCTTCTTTCTGTCTGCACGACATAGCATGACTTCCAATGAACTGTGACCATCGAACTTTGCAAGTTTTGTCTAAGTGTTTTTGGAAAATATTGTTTTCATATTTCTCTTGTTAGCTTTCAAAATCTTCATGGGCCAAACCGGAAACGCATTTCGAAATCGGATTTAATGAAATTAGACAGTCTATGTATATCTTTGGAAAAAACAATTACTAGCTAGTCACATGGTCACATTTGTCAAATTATGGTTTGACCCTTTTAATTTAAAAAATATAATCATCTTAAAATTAAATTTGGTCTATTTGTAAACATGTCATGTATTCAGTAAAAAACAAAAACGTTTCGGAACATTTTTCGCACCGTCTTATGCAGGACTGCTCCAATAACATTGTGACTACATACATACGTATATATCACTAGTGCATCAAGAGTGGGGGCGGGCAATTTTTCCCAAGCCCTAACTGGAAAAAGCCTTAACCGTATGTATTCACCTTACAACACTAGAATCAATAGAAAAAATTACCCAATTAATTGATTACCTATTGGTAATTATTTTTTGGGGTATTAAACAAAGGAAAGAAATTATACTTGACAAATGTGATAATATAAGTTGAATTAGTACCCTTTAAACTACCTAGAAAGAAATAGGTGGCTGCTTTAAAGTTTCAAACGAACAATAGATAACTATAAAACCTTTTATTTTCATAAGTGATTTCCTAGCGCAGTGATTAGTATGTTGGCTTAAGGAGGCTTACAATGGTTGAGCCCCGGTTCGAACTTAAAAAAAAAAATATGCATTTAAAAAGCGAATACGGTAACCTTGAATGATATCCTATTCTTCCCTTTCCCTTTTCCAACTGGTCCAGACAAGTGCTAGGATCAGAACGTAGAAAGCTGAAAGCATGACACATTGCCGCTCAACAAAAACAAGTGGTCAAACTATTTCTAATTTTTAAAATTTAATTACATAAATGATTGAAATTAATTGATACAACTACGATTAAAATAAGCGTTATTTTATTTAAATACATTTTACTTTTTTTTGTTTGTTTGTAATGAAATATAGTTTTACTTCATTGCAAATACTAATTACAGGTTTTTAAAATAATCATTAGATCAGATCGAATGAAATTAATGACTAACCAGTCAGTCTTGGTCCAATGCAGTCAGAGGATGGTACTGCTGCAGACCTACCACATCACCTGAGATGAACTCCATTTGGTAGCAAGGCTGGAAGGATTAGTCCTCCCGTAGAGCCTGGCAAGAAACTCTGCTGTTAGGCGTTATAAGATATAATTATAAGATGTATGTTATAATTTACTTTAAGTATAAGACGCTACCAAGTGTTAGACACAGTGGCGTAACTAAAATGGGGGATGGGAGGGGGAGAATTTTAAGATCCCCCGGGCCTCCACCTAGGGGGGCCCCCAAATGGGTGTCCGAAATTTACTTGCAAATACATAAATTAATATATTTGATTGACAAATAGTGTCAACGGGTGTCTTTTTTTTTTCAACATTTATGGATTAAATTTATAGCAATGACTAAACCTAGATCTACGTCTATCAGTACGTTGACTTTGTTGACATTTTAAAACTATTTTTTTCCCACAGTGAT